CTGTGGGAAGTGCTTGCAGACCCTGGGTAAGCTTAGACCTGAAGCTTGACAAGGTGACACTCCGTCTAAGGCCAGGCGCACACAGCGCCCTGCAGATGGTACCTGGTGGGTAGGGCAGCGTAGGGCACAGCTGCTCTGCAGTGAGCCAGGCACAACCACTCTGTGGGTCTGCCTTTGTGAAGGAGCTGGGGCTCCAAAGCTGCCTTGTAAAGGGACTGATCACTTCTGACATCCAGGGAAACTGCTGTTTCTGCTGCAGTGGTGACACCTTGTGGCTAAGGGGTACACAAAGGGGACAGCCATTGCCTCCCACCTTCACTTGGTTGCTGCTGTGACCCGGAAGCCCTGGTCCCCCCAGACACCAATGTTGGGTTATCAAGGCCTGACTTTTCTGCCCATCTTCTGCCTCTATGGTTTGTCCATGAGCTCTGGCTGCCACCGCTCACTCTGGGGGCTCAGGATCCTCCTGATCCACTCCTGCCCTTTACCACCTCCTTCCCTAAAGTATTCCAGCCTCCTTCCCTGATACTCAAATCCTCTTCCTTCCCGTATGTGGAACTCAGCTGACCGGCATGGGCTACAAAGTGTGCTCAGAGGTCTCCCCTGGGTGAGCTCCTCCAGCCCTGCCCACAGCCTCCCAGGAAGGTGACTAGGCTCCTCCTGGTTTTGTTGTTTCTCAGATAAGGATAGCAAGGGCAGAGAGGCTGCAAGAGACTCGCAACTACAAGAGGAGAAATCCTGGCTTCCTGGTTGCAGATCCCTGTTTCTTTCTCTGCTAGTTTGTTTCCACTGAGCACCAAGTCAGAAGGGACTCATCTCTGATATCGGACATTCTGTCTGCGAATGCAGGAGGTTGGAGGGGCCATGCCAACATGGTGGGCTGCAGTGTTTTAAAAGTCAGAAGAGGTTTCGGACCGACACGCAGAACAAGAAGATGGGGACAGGTTCCAGGCCTGTGGCAGGCGGGGTGGGAGAGCCTCTCCTCAAGACCTCAACATCTGGCACTGGTGGGGCCATTCACAGCCCTGCCTGTCCCCCAAGGTCCCCATTCTGACTGAGGCAGGACAAAGCTGCTCCCTCCAACCTCCTGCCTTGCTCTTAGACCCCCCAGGGATCACCTGAGAACTAAGCTTTGGCTCCTGGTCACAGAGAGGTCTCTCCTGGGAGAGGCAGAAGGGCTGGGACCCAGTGCCCTGTGAGGCTTCCAGAAGGTGCTGAGGCCCACTGCAGAGGCCTGCCTCCCTGAGGGACCCTTCAGGTCCTGTCATCCCTGTCTTCAGGAGGGTGCAGCACTGGGTGAGCGGCAGGCAGCTGGTGCGATCATGCAGGACTTTTCACACGGGCCGGTGCCAGGCGAAGGCAGTATAATATTTGTAGAAGTCTTTTTCCCTCCTAGCTTGTCTCTAGACTTAAAGGTCAAATACCAGCTGCCCAGCACAGAGCTGGTCTCCTGGCAACAGTAGCAAACCTCCCGCCTCCTTCCTTGTGGTCCATGTGGTGAAACTGGGGGCAGGGCCATAAATGGGTGGTGACTTTGCAGAGGAGGGGGTGGTGAGCCTTGGTGGACTGGGATGGGATACAGATAGGAGGTGGGACTAGGACATTCCCCTCTTGGGTGCAGCCACAAGCTTAGACTCAGGGCCTCAAATGCACACTTTAGGTCATAATTAAAATCCCACCAGTGCCTCTGCACAGAGTGGCCATCAGTTTGTGCTTTCACAGGAGAATAGGATGGGGAACGAGGAAATTGAGACAGCACTTATCACATGCTTCTGCTGAGTGCTTCTGCTGAGTGCTTCTGCTGAGTGCTTCCCATGAATCATTTTCATTTCTCACAAATATCTGCCAGATAGGCCTTATGAGATACCAGTGCTTGAATGGAAGGCCCCAGAATCACAAGCGCCCAGTGGAGGAGCAACCCTCCAGGGCATCTGACTGGTCAGCCCTGCCTCCTGGCCACCCTCGCCTCCCCCGCTGTCCCTCACCTGGCGGGACCAGTGGCCGCTCCTGGTTCTGGGTGCCGTAGCTCTTCCAGCTGTACTGCAGGGTCAGGGAGCCCTCTGCTGACTGGCAGGTCAGCTGTATGTTGTTCCCAATTACTGTCTCACCCTCAATGCCGCAGTCTGGCTTGGAGGGTGGCACTGGGAAGGAGAAGGAGCACGTTGGATGGGGTGGGCCGCCACCTGCCTCCCCAACACACATCCACGCACAGACCACCGTGCTCGTTCCCAGGCCGAGGGATCTGCGCTCGGTGGTGAGATGGGACGCTGGGAGATCACTTCACTTCAAAGTATGGGCTCCCGCTGTCGCCCGCCGAGAGGCAGCACGGACGTGGCCAGCATGGTGTCCGGCAGGGGCACCCCGGCTCAGATCCTGTGCTCTCTACTTCAGAGTCACGGGATTTTGAAGGCAGCCCAATGTGGCCATCATAAAGATGGGGAACTGAGGCCCAGAGGGGACAGCTCTCAGGGGTGCTGGCCAGCTGGGATAGCCCCCAGTTCTCCCGACTGCAGACCCAGCGCCCACTGCATACCCCTCGCCACGTTGGGGAAATCCCACTCCCTCAGGTCCCCCACCTTCCTATCTGCAAAATCAGGGGCATCACACCTCTCCGTAGAGGGCCAGAGGCGATGCTTTTACATCTGTGAACTGCGTTACTGCCACTGCTTTTTAAATAACGCTTTAGACCTGCGGAAACAGGCAGTGGCCTGGACCTGGTGTTGGCCACCCCTCGGTCAAAGGCTCTCGAGAGCCCTTCAGCTCTGACCTCTCAGTGACGTTCTCTGGTTTTGCTTTGGCCCCTTCCCGCATTGTGCTCAGAAAACACATCACTGCCCTGGCTGGATGACAGGAGGGACCCTGGGCAGCCCCAGAGGTGTCCACTGAGACCAAAGGGACACAGGAGCAGGGATAAGAAAGGGGAGCCCCAGCAAAGAGGTTGCAAAACCACAGGTCACCAACAACCCACATCCTCAGCTCCCCACAGCCTCCCTGGGGCCTGGAGCCTTTCCCCCAGCGGCCTTCACAGGCCACGGTGTAGGGTGCGTCAGCAGGCCTGCCTTACTGGGCACTGTCATGCCGAAAGTGCTGGACACTGCACCAGGAAACCCCGGGGGTAAAGGACAAGCAGTCTCACTGCCTCCAGGCAGACAGCCAGGCCCCCTCACACATGGCTGGGACTCAAGGAGAGTGAGGATACAGGAGGCCGACAGTGGAGGTGGGTGGGCCAGAGGAGAGGCGGGGCTCCAGGCCAGGCCGACAGAAGGCTCTGTGTGCCAAGGCTGGAGCTTGCTGGAGGCCTCCGGCAGCAGCCTGAGGGTGGGGGAGAGCACATTCACACGCCCCCCTGGGATGGCTCACTTGCCGTTGAACAATGCCACCACTTCTGCCATCCATGTGCACAGTCACTGAGCATTGATTGTCATCCCAATCTGGGCCCCACCCGGAAGTTATAGGGAACAGCTGTCCAGGACACACCTTCCTGGCCTGGCCAGCCACTGCAGTGCTCTCTGAAAACAGGTGTTTTGCTGGGTGTGTCCAACATCCCTAGCCGCCAGGGAGCCAGTCAGGCGTGAGGAGGAGGGACAACACATCAGACACACTTGCTCATTGCTGCTCCCAGGAGGACAGTCCCTAAACCTAAGGGGCAGAGGGATCCAATCCAGTCCTCCTATGTGCCGGCCCAGTTCCCCAGGATTGCAGCAGCATGAACCCAGGGAGGCTGCCACCTGAAGACCATGAACCAGCTGCCTTCTTGCCCACTTTGGGGATGAGAGGTCCCTGGGGGACAAGAGGAAGTGACATTTCCAAGGAACCAGGAAAGGCCTGCTGCTTCTCTCTTGAGCTCCAGGGGGGTGCAGAACAGGGCTCTCTGCTGCCTGACCTTTCCCTCTTGTTGCCAGGCAGCCTTCATCAGGAGACACGGCCCTCAGGCCACAGGGGAGCCAGCAGGAGCACCAACACCTGGAGGAGCCCCAGCCGGCCAGAGTCCCACCAAGTCCCACCAGGTGTGGGGCTGCACCTAGAGCCCTGCTAGGCCAGGTAGCTCAGTGAACTGTGACAAAGGGGAAGGGGAGTAACCAAGGCCAACTGCATCTCCAGAGGCATTAAAGGAGGAGGAGGAGGGGGTGGGGTGGGGATGATGATGATGATGATTCTGGAGCATTCGAAGACCAGCGTGATGGGGAAAGCCTGGAAATCACATCCTGAATTTCTCAGGAGCCCAATTTGAGATGATGGCAAGAAGGCAGCAGCCAGCCCCAGGAGGTGAGCTTTCCACAGTGCCCTGGCCTCTGCAGGCCGCCCTTGCCCTCATTGGGCTCCCACCAGAGGCAGGGCGACCTCCAATGAGTAACACGTGCGCCGGTTCTGCCTCCCGGGCCATCTTGAGCATCCCTGGGAGGCAGGACGCCTCGCCCCCGCTGCAGACGCCAGGGGGCGCCAGAGGCCGAGCGGGCGCTGCGCCCCTGCTCCAAGATCCAGGGACCCACAGCAGGCCACTGGGCAGCCAGCAGTCTCCGCCTACCAGCTGCCCTGCGGAAGAAAACTTCCAAGAATTGTTCATAGCATGTAGGACAAAGTGATCTCTTTCTTTTTAAAAGCAAAACATTGATTTCACTGAGTGATGTGTTTCAGATTGAACTTGTGTCCTTCACCCTCAGGCTGGCTCTTGACACGGAGTGAAAGGACCTGGAGCTGTTTAAACTAACCCCAACATATATATGTCTCCGTGTGTGCGAGCACTGGGGTTATATGACAGCATTGTCCCTGTGGGGGAAATGGCAACCGCCTTGATATGCACCATAGGAAACGGTTGAATAATCATAGTCCATCCAGGTGGCAGAGTTTACCCCGTGACTGGGTGGGTCTATCTGTGTTGATCAAGAGAAATGTGCATGAAGAATAAAGAAGAATCAAGTTGCTCTGCTTTGGAGCCTGAGAGAGCAGGAGGACCTGTTTGCCTGGCCCAGGTGGCCCACAGAGGAGGGTGGAGTAGTCTTTGCGGTTGTCTATGCAGCACTAGCTTGTGTGGCTGTGCAGTCTGGCTCCCTGAAATGCCTTCAGTCAAGCATCTCCTTATGCAGTTAGAAATAAAACACTACCAGGTGCTGTGAAGGGGAAAGAAACAGAAAAGTGACCTTTTAAACAGGAAAAGGTTTGACGAGTCGCTGCCTCCTGGGGTAGGGCTGTTCCTCACAGTGGGCCTACATGGCGCCCACTGAGGTTTTTCCAATACTCGCTTTGAGAAGTTGCTTTCTTCCTCTCTGTCTCATCTGAAAACCGAGGATACTGAAGTAGATGATCTTTTGGGCTCTTCCAAAACCATACATTCCAATAAGTCACTTGTCTCAGAACATCTTCAAAAGTAGCGGAGGAGCGCTTGCCTAGCGTGTGCGAGGCCCTGGGTTCCATCCCCAGCACCACAGAAAACAAACAAAACCCAAAGGTAGCGGAGCCTGACAGTGGTGTCTGCCAGGCGGGCATGGGAGGGTGGTGTGGGGTCTTCCTCTGGGAGCCGCACTAGGACAGGGAGAGGCGCACTACCTCAGTCACCACGTGGCCCTGAGAGTCCCATATTGAGGCACAACAGGATTGGGGGCTTCTCTTTTTCTTCTCTTTCATGAGTTTGTCATGGAAAGGGAGGAGTTGGTGTGGGGAGAAGAGCTCAGGGTGGGAAGGCCACTCCAGACCCTCCTTCTCTGACCTCTGGAACAGTCTGCCATTTGTGGAGAACTAAGGCAGTCCTCATTTCAAAGGGGGAGCAGTGGGCCCTGCCCTGGGACAGACTGGCAAGCCACTGCTGCCTGTCGTCTTACCTGGGGAACCTACCACGGTACCACCTACCAAGTACCTGACCACCAAGTACCTTGCCTCATCACTGGGCAATTTGCTTACCTTACCACGGGTAAGTTACCACCAAGTACCTTGCCACCAAATACCCTGCCTTATCACCAAGTACCTGACCACCAAGTACCTTGCCTCATCACTGGGCAACATGCTTACCTTACCACGGGTAAGTTACCACCAAGTACCTTGCTACCAAATACCCTGCCTTGCCACCAGGTGCTTTTACAGGCCCCAGCCTCTTCCCACCACCCAAGAGAGAGATGCAGCACTCACCCAGGACCAGCAGGCGGACGCATGACTTGGAGGTGCCCACCATGTCTGACAGCAGCGAGACGGAGCACTCGTAGGTGCCATTGTCATCCATGGTCAGCTGGTCGATGGTGATGGAGGAGTCCAGCTGCCCAACATTGCTTGATATGTTGACGCGATTCTCATAAAGCTCGCCGAAGATGTAGCTTTGGGTCTTAAATGTCCAGATGACCACTCTTTCCTGAGAGGAATAAGAAATGCCACCTGGTCTTCTCCCCTAAGGCCCTGACCTGGGCCTGTCCTTGGTGGCCCTGATTGGCTCCCCCGAGACCCCAGAGGCACAGACACGCAGGCCCCTCGGACCAGAGCCAGCACAGATGCCCATTGGCGGTGCCTTCGCTCCTGTCCCTCTGGGAGATCTAGGATTCACCTTAAGTGGAAGGACTGGAACCCTGGGAAAGGGCAGGGCAGTTCAGCCCCTGGGGCACTCATGTGGCAGCGGGCTTTCAGGGATCCCTGGGCCTCTCTGGCTGATCACCTGCCCCTTGTCTCCTCCCCTTCAGTCAGAGGGCTTGTGCTTACTGAGCACCTGCCGTGTGCAACCACCCAGGGCTTCCAATTCACTTTCTTTTCTGTTTTCTTTTACTTCATTTTTATTTTTTTGATACTGAGGATTTAACCAAGGGGCACTCAACCCCTGAGCCACATCCTCAGCCCTTGTTATTTAGAGACAGGGTCTCACTGCATTGCTTAGGGCCTTCCTAAGTGGCTGAGGCTGGCTTTGAACTCGGGACTCCTGCCTCACCACTGAGCTGCTGGGAGGACAGCGTGCAGCACAGGCCCGACCCCCTGTATTTTCTTGACTCCTGGCTTTGGAAGTCATTTATGTGCTGATAACTGATTGTTGGCCTAACAGCACATGGCGGAGCTGGACCCAGACATTCCAGCCAGGCTACTTGTCTTCTATCCCCAGTTCTGCCACTCACTGCTTGGGTGACCTTGAGCATGTGCTTGACCTCTCTGTGACCCCATTTCCTCTTGTGCCTGCCTCAGGGAGCTGCAGTGAAAGCACAGCCGGTAGCTCAGGCAAGGCAGCCAGGCGCAGGGTTTTGACCACGCAGCCTCAGCCTTGCTGAGCCTCTGCTTGGCTCCTGCTTGGCTCCTGGCACTCAGGGGTGGGTAACTCGGGGGCTCTTCCCCAAGAGTGATGGGCTGGCGGGCAGCCACACTTGGCGACCTCTAAGGCCAGCGCTTTGACTGCCCAAGAAAGGCATCACTTCTAGGCGTGGAGCTCGGGGGCCTCCTAAGAGAGGGGCTAGGAATCCTGAAAAATAACAGAGAACTAGCCATCGGAGGGCTGGGACTGGCTGTGCCAGGAGGAGCCAGTGGACGTTGGGGCAAACAGACCAGTCGGTGGTCAGTGTGAAGGAGCTGGAGGGAGGATGGCAGGGAGGGGGCGGGGGAGGCCAGTGGCGGCTGCTCCTTGGGTAGTGCCTGCCCCACGTTGGCTGCGTCCTGGCAGTTGGCGTGTGTCAGCTCACACCTCACGCGGTGGATCTTAGGGTTCCAGCTGCATCCCGTGAGGCAGAGCGCACCCCGAGCTCAGGCCTCTTCCCAGGCCGTGTGGCCCAGGAAGCGGCAGAGCTGGGTTCCAGCTGGGCACCTGGCTCTGGACCTGAGCTCTGGAGCCCATGCCAAACCAGCCCTTGGGGACG